AGGAGGGAGGGAGGGGGGCAAGCTAGGGCGCTCGCGTCATATCTGACGTCGTCCTACCCCTCCCTCCCATCCCTTACCATGGCGCTGATTTTCTCTATCCGCGGACGCGTGTCGTAGCGGACCTGTGGCTCCGCGCGCGCGTGCGTAGTGGGTGGTGGTGCACGTGCGTGCGTGCGTGCGTGTGTGCGTGGTTGTCGTGGTGGTGGTGGTGGTGGTGGTGGTGGTGGTGGTGGTGGTGGTGGTGGTGGTGGTGGTGGTGGTGATGGTGGTGGTGCTGGTGCTGGTGGTGGTGGTGGTGCTGGTGGTGGTGGTGTTGGTACTGGTGCTGGTGCTGGTGGTGGTTGTGGTGGTGGTGGTGGTGGTGGTGGTGGTGGCGGTGCGGCGCGGTGGTGGCGGGCGGATGGGCGCGCGAGAAAAGGCCCGCGCTGGGGCGAGAACGCCATCCTGAACGACGGAGGCCAAACACCGATCCGAAAATGAGGCCCACGCTGCAGCGGGAGCACGATTCGGAACGATTCGGGAGCAGAAATGAGGCCGGCGCCTCAACGAGAGCAGCATTTTGGGAAAAAATGACGCCGGCGCCTCAGCGAGAGTCGTTTCCCGGGATTTCCCGGGCATCCTGTGTGTAAAAAAAAGTACGCGGAGGGTGCGCGGCCATCACCCGGACGCCATCAGGGGAAGAGGGAGAGTATTTTCATATTGAGTAATTGTAGAGGGGGAGGAGGGAGGAGGGAGGGAGGGGGGGGGAGGGGAGGGAGGGAGGGCGGGAGGAAGGGAGGGGGGAGGAGGGAGGGAGGGGGGAGGGAGGAAGGGGGAGGAAAGGGGAGGAAGGAGGGGGGAGGAGGAGCAGGAGGAGGAGGAGGAGGAGGAGGAGGAGGAGGAGGAGGAGGAAGAGAAGGAAAACGGTCATATACGGGATCCTCTCCCCGCACTCGCCCCGTGACGCCGCGCCGGCCGCACGCGCGTGCCACCGGGGGGGGGGGGGTTATGGCCTCAGCTCGCAGGGCCGCAGGCACTCGATGGCGCGCTGGCCGTCGCGGGCGAACGCGAGGGGTTGTTCCAATGCGAGGTGGCCCAGCACGGCGCGAGGCAGACATCGCCGCGCTGGGCCCGTCTGCGGCCCGCCGCGCCGCGCGGCGCCGGCGAGACGTCGCGCTCGAGGCGACGGCGCACCGCGGCGCCTGCGCTGGCGTTGGCGCCAATGTGGTGGCGATGCCGCACGAGTCCACGATGGCCGACGAGTACGACCCGCGCAACGAGCTGCGTAGCAGGCAACACGAATGCAAACATATCGTCGTTCTGGTGCCAGTTGGCGGCGATTGCAACGACCTGCAGGGCTACGACGGCAGTCTTGATTACGACGGCCTCGGCGACTCGAGCTACGACAGCTTGGACGCCTACTGGGACTACACTGGCCTCTACTTGTCGCCAGCAGCACTACGACGACAAGAACTACAGCTTCGAGAACCACCAGCCCAGCCACTAAGGCCACCGGCTCAGCTACGACGGCAGGGAGCGGAGCTTGGATAACCCCCCGCAGAGCTGCCAGGCCCACCAGCAGAGCTAGGACGGCAGGAGGCTGAGCTTCGAGGAAGCTGAGCTGCGGGTGCCACCAGCGCAGTTGCAGGGGCCACCAGCAGAGCTATGACGGCTCTGGCGGAGCAGAGCCACCAGCTGAGCGAGGAGGGCCACCGGCAAAGTGACGGCGGCAGGAAGCAAAGCTTCGAGAACCACCAGATGAGCTAATTACATGGGCCTCCAGGCACCAACCTTAGCCACGATGGCTTCCACCAGAGCTACGAGGGCAACGGGCAGAGCTTCGAGAGCAACGAGCTCAGTCACGAGGGACACCAGCCGAGCGTGTTGACGCCCCGCGGGCAGCCGCCGCGGCAGCGCAAGAGGGGCGCCCGGCAGCCTGCGAGGATGCGCCAGGGGCGTTGGAGGAAGGAGGCGCTGCGAGACGAATTGGGCTGCAGGCACGTGGTGACCTCAGGTGGGCCTGAAGGCGCCCTTGGGTCTGAAATCGTTGTCAGCGGGCGCTGGACCTTCCCGTCTGGCGCCGTGTCCCTCAGTGCCACGCGGGGCGACCTCGAAGCAGTCGGTGCACACGTGACGCGCCAGCTCGGCGGCCCCTTTCAGCGGACCGCCGGTTCACTCGGCACCCCAAAACTGGCTTCAAAACGGTCTTCCAGCCCAGGTGGGGTGACGTGGCAGCTGCACGGCCAGGCGTGGCAAACCTCTTTCGAACGTTGTGCTCCTCCTCCTCCGCCTCCTCCTCCTCCTCCTCCTGAGGATCGGTATGGGTTCGACGTGATCTGCGATCATACAGCCGACGCGTAGGCGAGGGCCAGAGGTAGGCAACGATGGGGCGATGCGCCTCCACTCTTCTCACCCCTTCCTCCTTCCTCCTCCTCTTCTTCCTCTTCCTCCTCCTCCTCCTTCTTCTCCTCCTCCTCCTCCTCCTCCTCCTCCTCCTCCTCCTCCTCCTCCTCCTCCTCCCCCTCCTCCTCCTCCTCCTCCTCCTCCTCCCCCTCTTCCCCCTCCCCCTCCTCCCCCTCCCCCTCTTCCCCTCCCCCTCCTCCTCCTCCTCCTCCTCCTCCTTTGCCCTCTTCCCTGGCATTCGACGCGGTCGTCCCGAGCGCTACCGTGCCGAGGCCCTTCCACAAACTCCACGGCGAGGTACCCTGGCTTCCGAGCAGAAGCGAGGCCAAACATATAGGAAGGCAGCGGGGGTTGTGAGCACCCTCGCCCCCGCCGCTGGTCCTCCCTTTTTTTCGCCATGTCTCATCCTCCTCGTCCTCCTCTGCCCTTCTCCTTGGCGTTCGACCGGGCAGACCCGATTGCCACCGTGACGATGCCCTGCCACAGGTACCACGGCGCAAAGGCGAGGCGGGAGATATCATGGGCCATCTATCAAGGGTGCAGGGTTTCACACATATGGAGAGCAGATATTGGAGTGATATATCTGGCTCAAGGGAAAAGGAATCCAGAGGCTCCGCCATTCTGCATGGTAGCGGAGCCTGGTTGTGCCCGCGGCCAGGCTCCAGCGTTCTCGCGCAGAGATGTCTTCTTTGCAAGATGTATTGGCCCGAGTTGTGGCGATGGAGGGTGTTGTGGTCCAACAGACAGAGCAGATCGCAACGTGAGAGTTGCAGTTGCAAGAGGCACGAGCAGCAGCGACAGGAGTTGAACAGGGAGCCCAAGATGATCAACAGAGAGCCCCGATTCGAGAGTCACTCGTAGACACGAAGCTGTTCGGCAAGCCAGACAAGTTCCCAGGATAGTTAGATGAGAATGCGAAGTATCGAGACGGAGTTACGTGGGGGAACTGGAGGTTCGTCCCGTCAGCCTACTGCATGGCGGTGGATCCGCATATGGCAGAGCTGATGCGTGATGCTGCGAAGGCAGACGCAGAACCGATTGAACACGGAGATTTGGATGAGGATGCGCAGAGAGTGAACACGAACTTGTATTACATATTAGTCCTGACCTGCAAGGACAAGGCGCAGGGCATAGTGAAGAGTGTTGCAGCTGGAGATGGACTGGAAGCATGGAGATGCTTGTGTGTCGAGTTCGAGCCGAAGGTCCCCTCCAGGTTCTCAGGCATGCTGGATGCGATTCTGTACCCGACGATGCAGGAGCACGACCCGACCAAGGGCATCGTGTCATGGGAGACGATGGATCAGAGGTACGAGGAGCGGACAGCGGAGAAGGTGATGGAGTCGATCGAGAAGTCAGTGACCAGCACGCGCCTAGTACCGCAGAAGCGGAGAGAGCACCTGATGTTGAATGCGACGAGGTTCACTACGTACGCGTTGGTGAGAGCAGAGGTGCTGAACCACTTGAGAGCAAAACAGGCGGCGCTGGCACTCAACGGGCCTGCGCCGATGGATTTAGATGCGTTGACGTTCGGCAAGCAGGGCAAGGACGGCATGAGTAAGAAGAGCGCGGGCAAAGACAACAGAGGCAAGGTCTATGACCATGGTGGCATCTCACGGTGCAAGTATTGCTTGAAGAAAGGTCATGCGCTCAAGGAATGCAGGAAGACAACGCAGGACATGAAGGACGGCGAGGTCAATGAAGACGAGCTCCGAAGGATCAGTAAAGGCGAAGGCAAGGGCAAGGACGAGGCTGATAAGGCGAAGACGCCGACGCCCAAACCCACGGACAAGGACGTTAGTTACCTGGGCCCAGGCTATGACGCCGAGGAGGGCTGCATCTTCATGGTCGAGGCTAGCGAGGGCGAGGAGTTCGATCGCAAAGGGAAGTTAGATCACAGTGAGGAGACGGAGAAGGAGCCCAATTACGACGAGTACGAGAATGACGAGAGCGTTCTGGTTCCAATAAGTGAGTTTTACCAGGATGACGACGGGGAGATCGAGGTTATGGTCAATTCATGTGCGGCGAGGAGTGTATGCCCGCCAGGTTTTGCACCGCAGATCCCGCGGGAATATTCAGAAGCACCACCACTGCGACAGGCGGATGGTGCCAAGATCTATGCCGACGGCTGCAAGACGGTGCGTATGAAGGTATCCGGCGCCAGTCAACCGATACGAGGTCAGTTCGACGTACGAGACGTACGCAAGACGATCATAGCAGTCAGCGACCTGACGAAGGGATCACAGGGCGTGTGGTTCGATGACGATGGAGAGGCGCAGTATGAAACCCCACGATGAGCAAGAATATCAAGGAGCTGATAAAGAAGGAAGGTATCAAATCGCTCAAGATCTCGAGGCGTAGTATCTACAGCTTCGACGTGGGCGCGCGATCGCTGTGCCCGCTTCCAGAAGCAGAAGATCAAGTACCAGAACCCCCTGAGCCGCTGGAGAGCGAGGAGGCACAGCTGCCCAAGAAAGAAGGAGAGATGCAAGCCGACAGCGGAGGAGATCGCCATGCACGAGAGGACTCATATGCCATATCGTGACTGGTGTAAGTGGTGTCTTTGGGGCAGAGGTAAGGGGGGTGGTCGCGAGAAGGCTCATCCCGACTAAGCGCCTGCGATGCCTGTGATCAGCCTGGATTACTGCTTCGTGGACGCCGAGACGGAGACGGACATGGTCACGGTCTTGGTTATGGTTCAGAAGCCAGAGGGTTGCGTAGCGGCGATCATGGTGATTCACAAGGGGCCCATCGAGTACGTCAATTCAGCAGTGGAGTTTTACATCGACGTCTGGGGCTCAGCGCATATCATCTTGAAGGGTGACCAGGAGGCATCGTTACAGGCAGTGATCTCGGCGGTGAAGAACAGGAGGAAGCACAGCGCGCAAGTGGAGAAAGCGCCGAAGGGGTCGCATCAGAGCAACGGGGCGATCGAGAACGCAGTCGAATAAGTGGAGTCGCTGTTGCGGACGTTGCGCAGTGAGCTGGAGACGAACCTGAGCGTGAAGATTGGACCGGAGAGGTTGCTCATGCCGTGGCTTGTCAGACATGTGGGTTGCTTGCTCACGAGGTTCGCTATCGAGACCGACGGCAGGACAGCTTGGGGGCGACTGGGACGTGCCAAGTTCAAATCAGAGTTGGGGAAGATAGGCGAGACGATCGACTACAAGATCCAGGCTAAGGATTATTCCAAGTTGGAGCCGAGGTGGGGTGAAGGTATCTTCTTGGGTAGACGCGACGAAAGTGACGAGATCATTGTGGGGGCGGCGCGATGCGTCGAGCACGCCAGGACTATGAAGTTAAGAGCCAAGGGGGATCGATGCAACAGGGAGGTGTACAACACGTTTATAGGAGTTCCGTGGGGCCCGACAGGCTTGGAGGTCAAGGGCCAGAACGAGGTGGTTCGGAGAAGGAGGTGCGCCACGAAAGCGTTGATCGAGGAGCGTGGGCCTACGGGCGGGCGTGCAGCTTGCGAGGGGAACCCATCAATGCACAATGCGAGGTGCAGGACTAGGTTCGCGAAGATCTTCGGTGAGGCGGAACCTACGATAGAGAGTGCGATTCCAGCGCGACCTGCACAGCCCGCGGGGGATGCAGCACCGGTTCCAGCAGAACAACCGCCCGCGGCGGTCCAAGTTCAAGAACCACGACTGGAGACAGCATGGTCACGAGCTCCAGGTACGCTTGTGGGTCACCACTTCGGTGAGGTACACGATATGGGCGCGGATGTGACAGGTGGCGCGATCGTGGCAGGCGGAGACGTAGCACCTACGACACCAAGGCTGGAGGAACCCATGGAGATGGGCATCATCATGCCGATCTCGAGGGGTGATGGCCAACGCGTCTGCGAGGAGATCGAGCCAAGGGTTAACTGCGAGAAGCTGGTTGGAGATGGAGTCTACAGAGACGCATGTGCAGGGGAAGAGTTGCTTACGGAGCTGGTCGTCAACGGAAGGGCGAAGGAGATGAAGAGCATGGAAGAGTTCGAGGGGTTCGAATGGGTACCGTTCGAGGATTGGATGAAGCCGTTCGACACCAAGTGGATCGACAGCAAGAAGTACGATTTACAGACGGGTGAGTGGATCGTGAGGAGCAGATGCGTTCACAGGGGGTATAGCGACGGAACCGACCCCATGAATTTCGCAGGGGCACCCGCACTATGGGCAGTCAAGTTGGTTATATCACGTGCAGCTTCTTTGAGGTCTACTGACGCACGAAAGAAGAAACTCGGGCTCTACGACGTATCAGTGGCGTTCTTTCACGCGTCGCTGAAGGGGCCGCAGTGCTGCTGGCCACCACTAGAGCAACGGCTGCCAGGTATGCTATGGAAGCTGACAAAGGCCATGTCTGGGACGCCAGAAGCATCGATGTTATTTCAAGGAGAAGTTCGAGGCAACTTCAAGCATCACGGCTGTGAGGAGTTAATGACGGTGTGTTGCTTGTATTACCACCCTGAGAAGGATTCTCTATGCGCTGGGCGCGGATGCGATTTTGTGGTGGAGGCCTATGATGAGGAACTGGATGAATTCGATGAGCTGATGGCGAGCAGGTTCAAGGTCAGGCCACAACCTCGAGTGGGTCCAGGTGGAGCAGTGGAAGGTACGTTTCCCAACAGGACGCAGCTCTGGGCCGAGGAGGGCTCCGGTATTTTCGCCGACCCGAAGCTGAGTCTGAAGATGGTGGAGTTGCACGACTTAAAGCAGGCGAAGCTGGCGGAGACACCGAGTTCAAAACACACTGGGAAGGGCGTTCGTGGAGCTGAGGACCCAATTGGGCGGCAGAGCGCTACGATACCGCAGTTGTGGAGGCATTGCCCAGTACATGGCAGGAGACAGATGGGATATCCAAGAAGCTGTTCGAGAGCAGAGTTGTTCATATGATGGCCCGTGGGTGAGGCGCATCCCGAATCAGAATGAGGCTGGTGCGATATTTGAAATTGACAGCGGGCATCGTGATTTTCTACCCGTACCAGGAGGCCGCGTTCAAGGTGACAGTGTCGACCGACGCGGACTGGGCAGAACTGGAGGCGACGTGCAGGAGTATCTCATCAGGAGGAGTTCGATTGGGATCTCACCTTCTGGAGAATTGGGTTCTGTCTCAGGCGACAGTGGCGTTATCGAGTGGAGATTCGCAGTTCTATGCGATGGGTTCAGGCGCAGCTAGGGGACTTCCCATCAAGCACGCGTTGCAAGAGATGGCGCAGATGAGGAGCGAGCATATTCAGATAACACTGGTTTTACAGACGGATTCGGCAGCAGCGAAGGGTATGATTTACAGACGCGGAGTTGGACGTGTCCGGCATCTACAGACAAGGTGGATATGGCATCAAGATCTGGTGCGCGACGGAGAGATGGAGGTTGAGAAGGTAAATGCGACGGGGCAGGTTGCGGACATCGGAACTACGCCGATGGACAAGGAGACGCTCAAGAGGCATATGAAGACGCTTGGGCTGATCTCGATCACCACCGCGAGCTTCAATCAAGAGACCCGAGGTGTTGGTGAAGGTGCTGGCCGCTATGGCGAGCATTTCAGTTGCGGAGGCCACGGTGGACTACTACTAGGATGACGGCGTTCACATCAACGTGAGCATGACGACCGAGTTCAGTTGGTGGAGCTGTTTATCGCACCTGCTGGTTACGATGGTTGCAGTGGCTGTGAGCTACTATGTGTTTGTGGTGAAAGCAAAGCAAGAGGGAGTTGTGGAGGAGACGCGGGCTACGCGGTTCGACCAGTACAATGCGAGGCGAGAGTTTCGCCAGGATCACCGTCGAAGAGGCGAGGCCGTGACGTTCCGCCCGAGTCGGAGGTGCACACGAAGAAGAAGATGAGGTCCGTGATTGTTCAGGGGCCTGTGACATACAAGAGCAGGAGTAAGGACCACAGATATGCTGATGGTCGATACACCCCCTTGTCATCACAAGACTGGGGGGGGCCTGGAGTTTGAGTTAGATATGGTGCACATACCCTGGATGACCAGTATGATATACCATTTCGGTTGAGCAGAGCTGGTTTGTTCAGATTGTTTGCGACGGAGATTGATCACCTCCCGATGTCGCAGAGCGCGCAGAATGATAACGTTTCAAGGCTTAACGTTTACGAGGGAAATTGGTTTCTTTTACCATGGTTGTTTAGTTTGCATGGTCGAGACTGATGGGTTTCGACACGTACAGTGTAATTTAAGTGGTGAGGCTGACGAGCCCGCCAGCTTGCACAGCGGCCTCGAGGAGGGCTGCAGGGTTTCACACAGATGGAGAGCAGATATTGGACTGATATACTTGGCTCAAGGGAAAAGGAACCCAGAGGCCCCGCCATTCCGCAAAGGGTGGAAAAAAAAACACCCTGACACCGACAATTCGCGTTTACTAAACAGCCCTGGACGTTTACTAACAGCCCTGCCCTGTTCGATTCCTTCCATGGGTGCGTTTACTAAACGGCTTCGCTTGTCGGGGTGCTTAGTATGGGGGTGGATTTTCTACCATCCAATATAGGGTCTGCGCACCCTCGTCCCCCCCCCCATCCACCGCCCCCTTCTCTGCACCTTCCTTGCGCTCTCCTCCTCCTCCTCCTCCTCCTCCTCCTCTGTCCTCTTCCCTGGCGTTCGGCCGAGTCGTCCCGAGTGCTACCGCGACGAAGCCCTGCCACAAACCCTGCTGCGATGCATTCCGTTTGCCGCGCAGGGGCGCAGCCACATAGATAGTAGAGCAGAGAGGGGCTGAACACCCTCGCCCCTCCCCTTCTTCCTTGTCCTCCTCTTTCCTCTGCGTTCGACCGAGTCGTCCCGAACGCCACCGTGACGAGGCCATGCCACGGGCCCCGTGGCAGGGTATTCCGGCTACCGCGCGGAAGCGAGGTGAGAGGTATTGTCAGGTGCAGAGGGTTTGAGCACCCGCGCCCTTCGCTTCTGCCCCCCAGTTGTTTTCACCCTCCTCCTCCTCCTCCTCTCCTCCTCCTCCTCCTCCTTCCTCTCCTCCTCCTCCTCCTCCTCCTCCTCCTCCTCCTCCTCCTCCTCCTCCTCCCCCTCCCCCTCCCCCTCCTCTTCCTCCTCCTCCTCCTCCTTTGCCCTTTTCCCTGGCGCTCGACCGAATTGTCCCGCGTGCCACCGTGACGAGCCTCTGCCAGAGGCCCCTCGGCGAGGCATCCCATCTGCCGCACCAGAGGCGAGGCCAGAGATGCCGCAAGGCCGAGAGGGTCGAGCATTGTTCGCCCCTGCTGGCCCCTACCGTTTCGGGCGGCCATCGTCCTTGCAGCGCTGGGTTCGACGAGAGTCTCTTGAGCATACGAGGGTATGGCCACGGCCATGAGCTCAGAGGCCACCGCTTGTGCACAGAGGCGCAGCGGCGAGGCCTTCCCTCACTCCTTCCCCCCTCCCCGTGAGCGTATCACGTGTGAGGGTGAGTCTGTCTTATTCTTCCCTCTCTCCCTTTGGAACGGATTGACCAGAGAAGCAAATTTTGCAGTGCCCCTGCGTACGGTCTCTTTTCTTCGGTCATTGGGATCGCTTTGGGGCGTTGCGGGAGGAGGAGGAGGAGGAGAAGGAGGAGGAGGAGGAAGAGGAAGCGGAAGACGAGCAGGAGGAGGAGGAGAAGCAGGAGGAGGAGGAGGAGGAGGAGGAGGAGGATCA